ACATTGTATTTGCCATGCTAAAAAAAATCTGACATTCAATTTATAGCCAACAAAAAAATTGCAGAGTAAATTGTATTTCCATCAACTTATCGTGAAGTATGGTTTTTCTCCCTAGACTTTATTTTGGTGTAAACCTTCATCCTTCAACTCTTAATACTAGTTAGATTTAGTCCTTCGCAGTGGCATTTTCGGGTCAAAGTAGGTCTTGACCTTGTTGTCATTGTAACCTTTGCCTCTCAACTCTTAATATTCATAGATTTAGTCTCTCACTCTTCCTCTCTCACGAGCTAACGTCCCATCGAATCCTTTCATCAGTCGGTCCAATTGATGTGCATCTCTCTCTCCCTCCCTCCCTCTCTCTCTCTCTTTCTCTATCTCTCCACGTGTTAGTTTGATCTATTGTGCCACTAATCTTTGCCTCGAATGCCCCTACCTCCATGAATCCCAGGGTTTAAGATTAGACCTCATTGACGTCCACGTCAAATCTTCTGGAATCTTCCTATTGCTCGTCATGGGCCACCAAGTGGTCCAGGACGGAACCGACAAAGGGGTCTTCAGTCCGGCCCACCCAGTCGGGAGTCCATGTGGTGAGAAGCCCCTTAGCGGGGACATTGTCACCACCTGAAAGCTTCTGTAACCGTCCCAATACTAGCAATGGAAGTATGCCAAATGGGTCGGCCTTTACCAGAACTAAACATTGTAAGGGGTTTGTGTTTTTACGGAAATACTATTGTGATTCCTGTTTGCCGCTCGATGTAGCAAATTGATGCCCAATCGTAGGGGGGAGCAAAAGGAGCGATTTGAACTTGGTCGACTTGTTTTAGCCAGGTTATCTTTCGAGTTTTCCTTGTTTTGGCAACCTTTCGGAAGGTTCCAGTCTAGTCAAGGTCTGGTTTTTCAAAAAAAAAAACTCCTTTTGTTTCTTTCACCTGTTTTCTTTCCTTTTGTATTTTTCAGGTTTTTTTTCCAAAATAAGTTCAGAATTTTATTTTTTTATTTTTTAAAAGTTTCAAAACGTATTCACGTCTAAAAATGTTTAGTTTTTTAATTTTTCAAAATTTTAAAAACCTCCTTAAAATGACCATTCTCATTTTTTGATGTTTATTCTGAAAAATAAAGAATGGTTGGAATTGAAAAAAATTATTCATGATGTTTTAAAAAATGATTACATTAAAATATTTTAAAATGTTCACATTTTTTAAAAATTGCTATTTTAAAATAAATAGGCATTCATGTTAATTCATATTTATACTTAAATCAATTGTAAAAATGCAACCATGCTACATCCACCGAACCTTACGTATACCGAACGACCAAACATATCTCTGCCACATCTACCAAACTGGGCCGGCCCAGAAATGCATGAACCTGTGTGTTTGCTCGACATATTTCCGCAACGCACGACATATAGGGGCTAAGACTTAGGGCCTCTTTGATTCACAAGATTAAGATGGTCATGCCAATCCTATGAATTTTGGGTTGTTTGTTTGCATCATAGAAAAACAAAGGAATATTTCAAAGAGATTTGAGTCCATGATAGAAAATCGTATGGGAACTACTACAAAGAAATCTATACGAGCAATTCATATAGGGTTCAATCCTATAAATCAAACAACCAACATAGAAAAAAGTTTTGAGGATTCTAATCCTTCAAAATTCCTATGAAAATCCTTTTTTTGAAAAGGAGGAAAACACCCGGCCTTTGCATCAATCGATGCATGCAACCATATTATTAATAAAAGTGTAACAAAGTTTGAGATCCACAAAAGTTTCACAATCCGATTGCAAAACGAAGATAACATAAAAAAGATGCCACATCCGTCGATAAGGAACAAGCTATGATGCCTCTACACCTAGCCTATTAGTAGCTCGCCATCCACATCCTATGAAAATTCTTTGAATCAAAGAAACCCTTATATCCTACGCAATAAACACAGAATGCGGATTTTTTAACATATCACTCTAGCTCAAGTAGGTCTTATAACTTGATTCCCGAATAGAACAACAAAGAGCTTGTCTACTACTCCCACTTGATTTTGTAGGTGATCTTGGCCCCAAAATGAGCCTAAACATTTGCCCACGCAACAAATACTTGATTTGGTAGGGTGTGGCTATGACTGGCTTGTAGCCAGACAGTAGCTCGCCTTGGGTCAAACCACAACATGTAGTGGGTCGGCCTAGTAGTTAGTTTCCTTTGTTTGCTGGTTACGTTTGTTTTTTCCCTTCTCTTTTTTCTTCTCTTTATACTTCAAAATGTTCCATTAAACTTTTATATATATTTCAAAAATTAATTTGCTTAAACTTTTAGAAACGTTAATTGCATGTTGAAAAGAAGTTCATCAAAGGTCAAATTTTGATTGGGCAATTTTTAAAAAGTCATACCATTAAAAAAATGTTTGCATGTTTAAAACAATATGTTTGTGGCATTTTTAAAAATTCATAAAAATATGAAGAATTGTTCACGTAATTTGTAAAAGAGGTTTGTACCATTCAAAAATTCTTCATAACATTTATAAAATTTTCAAGTGATTAAAGATATGTTTTATATTTGTTCATGCAATTTTAGGAAGAAGTTCATAACATATAAAAAAATATTCGTGCCATAAAAAAAATATTGTAACACATAAAAGAATGTTCAAACGTGTGTTTAATTTATTTCCCATGTATTCAGAAAATGTTCAATGTGCATTTGGCAAATGTACAACATTTATTAGGATAAATGTTCAACCTGTATTTGCAAAAGGTTTAACTTGTACCTGCAAAATGTTCAACCTAGATACGTAAAATCTTTAATGTCTTTTTAAAAAGTTGACATGTATTCAAAAATGAAAAGGAACAAAAAAAAGAACAGAAAAAGAAGAAAACAATAGAGGAGAAAATACATAGAAAACACAAAAAGGAAAATACCGCGTGGAAGCTTCAGAAATCGGTCTGTCCATAGAAGCTTCCAAAATTCTCTCTACTGGGCTGGCTCACTAAGGCGAATCCTTGAGTTGACGCTCCCCATGTCTCACTTACTTCAAGATGAACATTACCTAAAAAAGAATACCTTACTTCAAGATGAACAAAATTTTGAACATATGGATCCTTTGAATGGTATGAACAGTTTTATAAAACTGTTTAAAAAATATTTATGTTGCATAATTCTTTTACAATGTCATAAACACATTTTTTAAATTTGCAAACATTTTTAAATGTATTGAACATTTTTTGGATAATATGAACATAATTTAAAAATTACACGAACAAAATCTACATTATACGAAATTTTTTATGATGCACTAAAATTTATAAAATTTAGTTAATTAACTTTTGAAATATAATATATTTTTAAATATTTAAAAAGTAATAATAAAAAATTAGGTTCTTATGAAAAAAGACAAAAAAAGAAATCCCTCTATAAAGAAATGTAAGACTTTCTAAATCACTACTTATGTGTAATATTTTTTTTTGAGAGAGTACGTAATGCAACTTTTTTTTTGAGGGGTAAAGCCAATTTATTCATCGAAGTCCACAGAGTGTGAGATACAAGCCGGAGCCTGGGGTTGGCCTAACCAGATGTGGCGCCCCGGCCCTAGCGAGAGTGAATATTTGACAAGTTTATGTGCAACTGTTTTTTTTTGAGAAATATGTGCAACCGTTGACGTGATGGAGCACTGTGTAGCAGATGCGCGTCGCGCTGGGCCTGAGTTTCTGTCTCGCAATAGGCGGGACCTCCAGACATGGTAACGGGCCCGTTAGATCATCTGAGCACGAGAGAGCCCACGTGAGGAATCTGAATTCCGGAGCAGTAGTTCGCCCTCTCCATTCCCACTCGCGACAGCCCCGATGTTCGCCGGCGGCGAGGACGGCAACGGCCATCTGCCGCGGCCGCGCAGGCCGCGGCGCGTCGGCGGCATGGGATCTCCTCCGGGCCAGGCGGCCTCGGCTCTGCCGCACCCCGCGCCGCCCCCCTGCACCGACTACGACATGGCCTATTTCAAGGCCTACTCCCACATCGGCGTCCACGAGGAGATGCTCAAGGTAACGCGTGCACGAGCACACACTTTCTCAATTCTCCCTCTATGATATATGCTCCGTATTTGATGGAGGATTGGCCGCCTGCCTGTACTTGCTATTGCATCTGTGGAGTTAGGGTTTTGTTTACTACGGGCAGCGATCTGTGGACCGAGTCCACGGGATCGTCTCCATCGAACAAATAAGGATGTCCGAGGTTCCTTACAGTTCCACCACCTGCGAGGATGTGACCTAGTGTTAGCATTGGTTCAGTTAGTGTGTCGTGTATAAGCTCGCATAGTTAGGGCTGTTTATTGACTAAGTAGACATCGCATGAATAATGTTCTTGCACGAGGAGATGGGTGGTTAAAATGTTTACAATCATGCTCCACGAGAAGATGGGTAGCTTAAATGTTTATGATCATGCTCCGTGTGGATCTGAAGTTTTGTTTGGCTTTGCCATGTAAAAGATTATGACCACTGTTTGAATCACTTATAACACAACATAAGCCACACAAAGAAATAATGGACATGCCACAGTTTTTTTTTTGGTTTGTCAGGAAAATTAACAAGAAAAACGATGCGTCATTATTCTGAATGGAGGAGCTAGCATAACACTGTTGTTGCCCAAATGCTATGATCAGATGCTAGCATTGTTTGTTGTTTGTCGCGCACCTGGAAATTCAGATGTTGTTATCTGGTAATTTGTTAATGTAAGCTACTAACCTTACGACCTGGCGTGCATTGGTAGAGAGTGATGTGCAGCTGCTGCTATGCTTACACAGAGTGCCACAGACTTTACACCTATTGAAAAAAGATTTCTCAGAATACACTAATTACACCAGTTTTTTTTTTTAGCTTTATGTTGTGTTGGTGATTTCAGTAGCATCTCTGGATTGCTTAGGTCTCAAGATAATGCAACATCATCATTCTTGAATTAGTATTAATCTTGAGATTGCTAATTTCAGGATCATGTGAGGACTAATACTTACAGAAATGCTATCATGCACCACAAAGATCTAATTTCAGGCAAGGTCAGAGTTGCTTACAGTTTGTATGCTTACTGGACTACATGATATTCTTGGATAGATACCAAACAGGATACAGCTTTCTGTTCACTCAATTAACTCATGAATGGCTGAAGTTTCAATTTTCAGGTCGTATTGGATGTTGGCTGCGGCACTGGCGTTCTTTCTATATTTTGTGCTTTTGCTGGTGCCACTCGGGTAACTTAAGTAATTAATTATTAGCTGGACACCTATCTAAGTGTCCCTTTCTATATTGATGTTAAGTATGTTTCGAATCTTTGTTGCTCCTCAAGCCTTTTCCTCATTTTGTTCTTTTCTTTCTGTATAAGTTGGTCGCTTAGTGAATTCACACTAAGCAGATATTGATCAGTTTTTTAATCACGGTGTAATTTGTTTTTCTGTGGATCTTAGCTGTCCATTTGTGAACATATCTGACAAAAAAAATGATATTCTAAAGAGAGAACACAGGAGCAAACTCTTTCACCAAAAAAATAAAAAGAGATTAGCACCAGATAGTCATTTAAAAAGCTGCATCAATGCACGCATTGATAATTTGATCTGTACCATAAGATCTATCGTACCCATTGTTTACCAATACTAGTAGCCTCCATGCTTACACTTTTTTGTGCTTTGAATCATCTTTCATTCGATTGCAGCAATTTAGCCCTTTCTTTTGCAATAAGACACATATATGCTATATTGCTGTGTAATAATAATTATTACGGGTTCATTTTGCAATGTTGCTAATTCATTTTATGATGTGGATGGCAGATTGCCTGTTTTCCATTAATATTTAATTTCTAATTAATCTACTGAGTTTATTGTGTTCAGGTCTATGCAGTCGATGCAAGTGATATTGCGTTACAGGTATATCCTCCCCTCTTGGTTTTTCCTTTATGGTTGAGATTGCAAAACTACAAGTAATTTAATAAACTAGTGCTGCACCCCAACTCTTATACTGTGTGCTACTTGAAAGCTAAATGCAACATGGAGGGAAGCCCCTTATGATCAAATAAATACATTTTTCTTAGAATAGTGATAAATACTTAGTAGCTTGAAAAGTGGTGCTAGGCAAGTTCCCTTGCTTGATCTGCTACCATACTATCTGCTAATAATATGTATGTTTGTGAAATGCTTTTGCAATTTCTTTAATATGCATTTTTTACTTTCATTGTTTTATGATTTGCTTCTACAAATTTAATGCTGATTCCATTTCCTTCAATCTAAATGTGTTTAGGCAATGGAAATTGTGAGGGAAAATGAGCTGTCTGACAAAGTCATTGTTTTGCATGGACGAATCGAGGTACACCTTTTCTTGCCATTTCTGTCATAACTATTTCATCACCTTTTGCATGTACCTAAAACTTTATTTTATGAAAGGTTGAAACATTATCTTTCTTGTAGATTATAGCCAATTATAATATCTTGATTGTAGTTGCTTTAGCATCCTTAAACTAATATTTGAGGCCTTCAGCGTTATGGAAGTTGACTGCTATAATATTCAAATGCAGGATGTCGAAATTGAAGAAAAAGTTGATGTCATTATATCTGAATGGATGGGCTATATGCTTCTCTATGAGGTTCTATAAATATATTGTTTGTGCAGTTGGACTTATTCAACACATCACTTTACATCTGCCCGATATGTGAAATCTGAAATATAGTCATGTTGATTGTAGAGTATGCTGGGGAGCGTAATTTTTGCTAGGGATAAATGGCTTAAGCCAGGGGGTCTTATTCTTCCATCTCATGCGTCGGTAAGTGTTTCCGCAAAATGTTACTCCCTCCGTTCCATATTAAGTGTCGCTGATTAAGTACAAAGTTGTACTAAATCAGCAACACTTAATATGGAACAGAGGGAGTATGTAGCAATGATTTGGTTGAGACATTGATTGAAAAATTGCTTGGCTGACATAAACAAGTAATCGTGCTGCAGCTTTATCTTGCGCCTATTACAAATTCGCACAGATATCAGGATAGTATTTACTTCTGGCGAGATGTATATGGTATAAAAAGTAAGTTCATTGTCCTTTGTATATGTTCTCTTAATAACTACTCCCTCCGTCCCATAATATAAGAGCGTTTTTGTCGAAAACACTCTATATTATGGGACGGAGGGAGTAGTATAGATTCCTTAAATATGAGGAGACTTAGTTGCTTGTTCGTAATGTGCCAATAGCTTCCTAAGTTAGCTTGACATGGAAGCTAATTATTGTTTCTCATTCTCAGATTAATCTGTAATTTATTCTTTGCTTGATTCAGTGTCCTGTATGATGCCTCTTGCAAAACAATGCACATTCATGGAGCCTTCTGTTGAGACAATTAGTGGCGAGAATGTTTTGACATGGCCAACGGTGGTGAGATATTTGTTGCTGAACTGTGTATTCTTCTCTGCTTGACATCTGCTTTGCACACATATCACCCTCGGACTTTGCGTATAAATTAGTTCCTGTTTGTGTAGCTCTACATTTTTATGTAAGCTGAACTATTTTTTAGTACAACTTACTGGATCCCTTGAACAGGTTGCACAAGTGGATTGCTATACCATACAAGCTCCAGATCTTGAAACTATTACCGCTGCATACAAGTTTACCTCAATGTTGCAAGGTAAGTTGTATTTCATTCTTTTTACATTCGAGGTAGATACACATGGTGAAACATATTCATGATTTCATCTAGTAAATTTGCACAGCTAGGTTTCTACTGATAGTATGATATACTCCCTCTGTAAACAAATATAAGACGTTTTATAGACTTGACACAAGTATCTAAAACATCTTATATTTGTTTACAGCGGTTGTGTATTTTAATCTGTGGAGTCCTCGAGCTAATGATCGTGCCAGGTCTGTTTGAGAGGACTTAAGCTTGATCACTCTAAGACAGTGCTGCTGTTAGAGAGGCTTTTTGATAAGCTGTGGGATGTTTCTGTTGATAGAACAAGCTTCCTGCAGAAGCGGAAAACCCACTATATAAGGCGTACCGGAAAAGTGTTACCTAGATTCTTACTGAAGTCAGGAATCTATTTCCTGTGTGTGAACCTATTGCAGCAAGGTGGCAATTCTTAGCAGCTTCAGGTAGCTAGCTGGTGTTAAGGATGTATGGTGATAAGTAATCACATCTCTTTAGGGTCTCGTTGAGTTGCATTTTCGTCGGGCACACAGATATAGAAGTTGTAAGATTGAAAACCCACAAAAGAGAATGGCCATGGTACCCTCCATTACATGCTCTGGAACGATGATAAATGATGTTTGTTTCAGTACTGATACATACATGCAAAGATAGACTACATACAATTTATGTGCATATTTTTTATCTTGTGGTAGAGCAAGAAATTGCCAGGCCCTGTTCAGATAGTGTCACTTGAAATTATTAATGCAAATTACACCGAAGATACATTTTTTTCTATAGAGTTACTGAAGACATGCGAAAGAAAACAGCACAATCTTGGGTACAGTTGTACTCCTTGAATTATTTTTTCTTGTCTTTTTCATCTGCATGGAAATCTAAATATGTAATGCTAAGAGCATCAACAGCTGGACTGGTCAAATTTGACCCTCTATACGTCCGCAGCCGCGTCCGTAGATAGTGACTGATCACCCCTCATA